GACTACAATTGTTGCTCGACTGACTGACTATAATTGTTGCTCGACTGACTGATTATAAATGTTGCTCGACTGACTATAACTGTCGCTCGGTTGACTAACTATAACTGCAGCATCGCGAACTAAACATACCTCTAATATGATAAACCCATCACAACCTAAACATACATCTAATATGATAAAACACATCACAACTTAAGCATACATCTAGCATGATAAAACACATCATAAAGTCGCATAAATAAGTAAATTGTCTATAATTGTTGCTCAATTTACTGTCTATAACTGTTTCTAAACTGACTGTCTATAGCTGCTGCTCAACCGACTCTCTATAACTGCTGCTAAACTGACTGTTTATAACTGCTGCTCAACTGACGAGAAGGACAAGTGGCCTTCGCGCGTTGTGATAAGCAACTGTAGGACCTAATATGTAGGTTGTTATCCCTTAGGGAAGAATTATTGTATCCTCATCTGAAATTTCAACTTAACTCGAAGTTGTTCTAAGTTTCTTAATTCACAACTCAAAGTTGCACTAGAGTTCTTATCTCATCTTAACTAGCATTCAGTTCACGTAGCTAGAAAAGACTTACTAGCTAGGTGATTAGCCCTATTCGGGCAAACTAACGGTTACATACATACCTCAGCCAAGATATTGTGATCATAGAAAATATTGTAACCAGTACAGTCTCCCCACCTGATATGTTGAAGTGCAAGTGCTGATTGGATTGCAACTGCCAGAGGCTCGATTCCCCACAAGCTACAAAATATATAAGCACAATATATATTCTAAGTACTTAGCTCAAACAAAAAAAACTCAAATCTTATTATCTGATTTGACTAGGTTCACTCACTAGGTTTAAAATCATTTAAAACTCATTTTAGGAATTTACGAGCTGATTTTGAAATTTTATTGTCTTTGAGGCATACTAGCATTCTCGAAATATTTCTAAGTCTGCGGTTAAAATCTGACTGAATCTTATCTGACAAGTTTAGAAAAATACTACACATCTCGGTTCACGCTCAAACTGATGTTCCGAACAGAAACTCCCGAATCGTCCGAACTGCCAGGACTTATTCAACTGAACTGACATTCTATTCGAATTGTCTGGTCTGTACAAACTGGTTCGACTGAACTGGATCGAGGTCTCACTCGAAACTGGGCGATCATTCGCTTGACTATATGCAGCTCGACTTAATCGTGGTTCGGGTTTGGCGCGGCAACTCGGGGCCGGCACGAACTCAGCTGACACGGCTTAGCCAATGCACGGGTCTGAAACGGTGTCACGGTCACTGACGCAGGAGCGTGCTTGGACCACGACAAACGGATAATATCGCATTGACGGTAGGTCATACGGATATACGGGCGTTGAACAAAGCGCAGGGGCGCGGCTCGGTCAGACTCGGTGCACGAGCACGCACTCGATGGCTCGGCTCCAACGAACGAACGAGAATGCGACACGTGTGCGGGACGACGATATGCGTTGAAGGTACGCGTTATCGCACGCCGGTTGAATAATTCTGATCGCTACGAGGCACTCGGTCTCGATAGCCTTCTTAGGCTTGGTTATGATCCATCGTCGACTAACCAGCCGACCGACTGTTTGTAGTATTCTCGGGCAATTGGTAACCGAGTTACCCAGACTCGGGTCGTTCTCAAAGGAAGGCTTTTCGGAGCTTCGTTCACTATCTAGTCGCCAAATCACACAACCGAAAAGGTCCTAAAATGCTACTCGCAATTTGGGGGTTTGAATTTAAGCTAAACTAATCTACAAAATTGAGGGCAATTGGAGGCAATTAGCAAGGCAAGAAAAAGCACGCAAGAAGATGAGAGAAATCAAGGGAGAAAGAGAGATTTTGGTTCATCGGAGTCTCTATGATCAAACACACACAAATAACCGAACATTGCCATGCTAGCTAAAACCCTAAGAAGCTAAACCAAACTCTAGCATCAGACGAGCAAGCATTTAACTCCTAATCACACTTAGTCAAGCATTCACGATCTAAAGATTCAATCTTTTCCTCCAAGCAACAAAAGCACAATATCAATTTTCACAAAAGCAAACAAAGATATACGAAGTAATGAGGCTTAAGACTAAGTACCCACTCCTACACGCACTTGGAAGGATGAACGGAGTCAAAAGCTCGAAACTTTACTCGAAACAATGTCGCCGGGAAATCGTCGGAAAACTTGATTCATAAGCTCCAAACCAAAACATAAAAAAGAGAAAAATGAAATAGAGAGGATTTTCCCAACTTAAAAGTTGAGAAATGAGGGTTATTTCAAAAAATACAAAGCACAATGTCTATATATAGCTACACCACAAACACACACTAAAAACACGCACATTTAATGAGGAAAACTCGCGAGGTAGGTCGATTTCGCGAGCAAGGGTCGAAAATTCGCGGCCAAGGGACAACTCGCGAGTGTTTTCTTGTGGCTGGGGAGGAACTCGCGGGGTAGCTTCATTTCGCAGGATAGGTGAGGAAACTCGCGGGCTGTTTTCGCTGGCAGAAGGGAACTCGCGGGTTAGGAGCTTTTCGCGGGCGCGAAATCGTTTTCGCGGGCTGAAAATGGTCCCGGTGAGCTCTTGATACTCGATTCGCTCTAACTTTTCACATACAACTCCGATTCGCATGAAACTTGGACCAAAATTCTTCTCATTGAATTCTCTTCATCCCGGTATGGCTTGGTCGGATTTTCTGGATTGGACGGCTCGGTCGGCTCGGATAGTTCGTATCCTCGTTCTCGACATGTTGGACCTATTCAACACCAAAACAAAAGAGAAAATGCGCAAAAACACGAAAAACACTCTACCATAACAAAATACACAAAGCACGATAAAATGAACCGGTAGACACTAAAACGAGCCTAAACTATAAAATAAAGCACACAAAATACACAAAAAATAACGATAAAAACACAATAAACACGACCACATCCCGATACCCAAGGACTCATATATAATCTTACAACATCTAAAATTATTTAAACGGAGCTAGGATTCGGGCAATTAAACTCGGATATAAAATTTACCTGATTATCGAAACTAGATAAAACTAGAGTTCTCGATTCTAAAAAATTCTAACTCATTTCAAGTCGATACTTAAATCATAATTTCTATGTGATTATTATAAGAATTTTTATAATCAACAACTGCAGCTAAATCGCAACTGGACTAATTTTTCTAAAATTATTGCGACAACGACCTAAGTCCTGATTTATTAACCCTATCAAACGACATCCAAAAATCACGAAATTTAAAACATAGCATCCTCGATACACACATGATTTATGGTCAAATTACCGCATCCAAATTCAACCTCCAACCAATCCAACTAAAACAGCATTAATGGCCACCTAGACAAAATTGGTTCGCCTATCTAACGAACTCCAAATAATGCTAAAATCGCACCTAAGTCTTGACACATTTCAATATGATTTATTAAATTTAAATCATTATTTTATCACTTATAGATAATGAGATCAAAAATTAATCGCTTCAAGCTCGTAAAATCCCGATAAATTCGATTATCACTCAAATCATCAAATTCTCATTTTTATAGTATCTCATTAAACATATATAAGCATTGGAGTTGGGTTCAAGCCATTTCACCTCAAATCAACTCGATCAGAAAAACCGAAAATATCGGGATGGAGGAAATCGGCTCGGCTAAACGGAACTGGGTCAGGGCTGCTGAAATGGGTCGAACCTGGTGCAGGACGAGTCGAGTCATCTCGTTGGGTTGAGATCTGAACCGAGATGGCTCGATCGCAATCGGTTGGAGCTGGACGCGTGTGGATCGGAACTGAGGGCGTCTCGGGTCGGGCGAGACGCGCATGGATCGGGACTGAAGCTGGGACCCGGCGTACGGTCGTAGGTCGGAGCGTACGGACATGCTAAGGTTCTGCTCGTCGGCGTACGGATGCCAGAATCGCGCGGGATGGTCGAGAACCGGGTTGAGCGAGCAAGGGCTGACGAGACGTGGAAGAGGGAGTTGCGAGCTGAGGTCGACGGCGGTTGGGAGCTGGGACGTGGCCGCTGGCGTGGAGAGTTGCTGGAACCGGCGAGGTTGAGTTGTGTTCGTCGGAGCTTGGGAGGAGGACGGCGCGTCGGAACTTGGGAGTTGTGTTTGTCATCTTTGGCTCTACTCGTTTGTATATTTAAATGAGCCTAGGTTGAACGACTTGTCGAGTTTGTTTATTAAACGAGTTGAGCCAAACATGTTTACAAAGGACTCGGTAAGATTAAGGGTTTATTAAGCGAGTTGAGGCAAATGAAGCTTACACGAGGCGGGCTTGAGCTCACATTAGTGAACAAGACAAGCCGACCTGAGCAAGCTTAAGCTTGAAAAACATATTCGGCTCGAAAAACATGTGCATGAATTCTTGATCACCACTCACTAGATGAATATTACTTTATATGTAATGTAAGAGCTTATTTAGCTCATCCAACGCTCTATATTTATAATGTATTGTGTCATGGTGTAGCTAAACGTACCCAAGTGTTTTCAAGTTCGCTTGAACAGCTATAGACACGGTTGCTTCTTACTTTTGCTTCGGTGAAGGAGGAAAAATAAATGTATATGAAAGAAAACCAGTGGACCTTGCAAAGATTTTCGTTGCTCACACCTCGCCACATACATGTGGAGAGCTTTGATGCAAGAACCATTGCTGAAGACATGGATGTTGATGTTGGAGCAGGAGTTGAAGAGTGTTTAGGTTATTGCAATTAATAACAATGAAATCAACATCTTCTATTAATAAGGTTTGAAGCACATGATTGTGGATACAAATTGTACAAGCAATTGCATGAGGATATTGATATAACTGTTAAAGGCATCCTTAGATAACAACAAAATACACAGTAGTTTATTATCGAAAAAAGTGGTGTTTATAGTACTTATCCTCATACACTCCAATCCGAAAGAGAGAGGAAAATGAGTTGAAAAACAAGTGCGAAAAATGAGGAGAAAAGCATTAAAGTTGAGGAATATTGAGATTCCTAGTAGCCCGGGGGCTTGTAGGCAATGAAAGCGATGATTTGGACTTGGCGGACATTGTCGAAGCCGATGATCCTGATGAAGCCGTCCGGGTGAGCCTTGATTGCCTCGTTGAGCTCGTTCACGACCTGAACCGCATCTGTGCAACCGAACATGGGCAGCTTCCACATGGTCCAGTACCTCCCATCATAGTACCCGGGAGACCTGTTGTTCTCACGGTACGGGAACCCGTGCTACGCATATTACATTTGCACACACGTATTATTTTCTGTAATGAAAAATTCGAGTAATGCGTATTATTGGAAGTCGAGTAATCGGAGTAACCTGCAGCTCGAATTCGAGGCAAGGAATGAGTTTTTGCTTGAGAAGGTAATCGATTTGCTTGATGAGTTGCTCCGTGGTGAGGGGAGGAAGGTACGACAGTGTCTCGAACTTCTTCAGATCAACTGTGGGCCACACCTGAGTGAATAAACACACACACACACACGAACAATCTTCATTACATTTTAGATCAAACAAATGTTATTTTATGAGACAAATGTTATTCATTACCTTCATGCACTTGACTCTGCCTCCGTTGCTAGTGATGCTGGTGATGTCGAAGTGCTTGGGGGTGCCGGGAAAAGCGCCGGTCGACCGGGCGCCGAGGAAGGGAGACAAGACGACGGGCTGAGCCGAAGCCGAGCGGCCGACGGTGGGGGCGGTGGTTGAGACCATTGAGGCAGCCATTTCTGTTCTTTCTTAACAAAACTTGTAAAGCTCAATTATTGACTCCGACGCACTCTATTCAATGTGGGAGACTCAACAGCAACTTCCTTATCCTTTTATAATCACACTCCATCCCGCTTTCTTACTGATTCCATCCAACGGTGCGGATTTGATGTTCATCCGTGCTGGCGGTCCTGAGGCGTCCGATCGGGCTTGCCGTGTTTGTGACCACAAATAGATGATCTGGTGCCTTATCGCTTGCCACCCTACAGCTGGGTGCCACGTGGCGCTAGCCTTATCTGATACGACGAGGGCGTGGGGCTGGCTAATCTGAGGTTGATGATGCAAAAGGCAGCACAGCCTTTGATGGGAGGATCAAGTGTGTCTGGTCTGGTCTTTGCCTTTTCAGATTTTTTTTCTTCTTACATTTAAATGATTATATTTTTTTTTTTGTTTTTAGTTTTTGTGTCAAGTGACACTTAACGACAGCATTAAATCTGTGAAGCATAACTGAAAGGAAAAAAGAAACTTTTCTGATTACTTATATTTTTCAAATTAATATCATCATCATGATAGATTTGGGAAATGGTACGACGTAACATTTACAAGTCTCGACGGAATGGTTACGTAACGGGACCGTAGCACTTTCCACATATTTGAGTAAATTGGTGTGTGTAGCCCAAATTTCTGAGGCATTGAATGATTTTCTACCCAATTCTGTGATTATTTTATTATTCTGGTGGACTCGAACGTACAATCATTATTCTAGGAAAAATGCGCTTTTGGGATCTCTCTGCAATTCCAGAAATTGGAGAATTTTCTAATGTCTGGATCACCAAATTAGAAGACTACGATACCTAATTTTATTATGATTGTCTTGAACTTCATTTAGATATTTTTTTTTTTTTTTTTTGAAACGATAGTGATATTAGATAAAGCGCATAAATGTGAAAAATATAGTCACCAGCTGAAACAAACAGATAAACTAGGAGGACATGTCAAAGACCGTCTAGAGTCGATCCCAACAAGGTAATACTAGAGACCACACAAAAAAACACTAGGACATTAAAAAGACCCCAACAGGGTGATGTCTGAAAGTACGATCCTAACAGGATAATAAGGTTACACTCGGGCTAACCGAGGCTAATGGACCAGACCTAAAATACAATTGCAGACACAAAACAAACACAGACAAACGACACAAAACAAGAACAACAAAATAACTAAAATAAACTTAAGAAAGCCCTTCCCCATCAACGAGCAGATCAACCAGCAGTGAATAATCGACACAAGAAAGATTCTAAGCCCGAGAAATCGCTGCTCAACCAGCAATGAACAATCGTTTAGAGGTTTCACTCGTTATACTTGTTAACTAGTTGTTTTGTAAGAGTTTAATTGATTAGTTTTTTTTAGTCGAAAGAACTAATTCCGAAAAGCTCAATACATTCCTTATATATATTTATTCAAAACGTATTGAATTTAACTAGCAGACTCGCACGCTTTGAAATCTTGATTTGTATTTAGGTTGGTATAAAAATTTTGGAAACATTATTGGCTTAGAATAAACCATAAATAATTATTTCATCTTATCTTATAAATCTATCTTTCATTACCATAAATTAATTTTTTTACTCAACCAATTATAATTTAAAAGAAAGATAAATAATGAATTGATTTATAACTCAACCAATTATAATTAATTCAGCTCATAACTTAATTAAAGTTATAACATCTACGCAGTATTACAACTAAAGAAAATATGATAAATCTCAAAATTTATTATTTTACTCTCTAATTCTATTTATTTAATCTTGATAATAGCTTTTATTCTCTCTTTTGTAACATATTTTTTTTCTCTAACTTCAAAATATATTTTTTATTCAAAATATATTTTTTCTGTCTTTTTTAACTAATGTGTAAATTCAAAATTATAATGTCGAGTCAACTATACTCATTTTTTTATATACGAATTTTAATAACTATATTATTTTCTATGTATTTCTTATGTTCAGAAAAAAAAAATTACCTTTTTTAAAAAATATTTTTAACTTATTGTGACTGTCACCTGTGAGTTGTCTCACATCGTGGAGAATATACTTAATTTATAAGTCTATTGGCTACTCCTCATTCCACCAATTATTTTGGGATGGAACCTCACAATGGTGCACCTAGGGTCACGCTCTTATGGTGCGCTTCACCTGTGTGGGACCGCACTTGTTTTGCCCCTGTTTTGACATGGTATCAGAGATGGGACCGCACCCGCTTAGCCCATGTTTCTTACATGGTATCAATGTCGGTTCTATTTGGACAGTGTGATGACGTACCCGTTTATTCAGCCTGTTTTTAGTAGGACTTAACCATTCGGCTCTGTATATGAACTTGGCCTACTTGAAGGACTTACAAGTAAGGGGGCGTGTCACTTGTGAGTTATCCCACATTGTTTATATAGGGAGAATAGACCTAATTTATAAGTCTAGTGGGCTACTCCTCCTTCCACCAATTGGTTTTGGGATGGAAACTCACTATAGTGCACCTAGGCTCACCCTCTTATGGCGCGCTTCACATGTGTTGGACCACACTCGTTTTGCCCCCGTTTTGACATGGTATCAGAGGCGTGGGTTGCTGAAGGACTGAAAAATAAGTTTTTCCACATTATTTATATAGGAAAAACTATGCATAATTTATAAGTCTAGTAGGCTACTCCTCCTTCCATCAATTGGTTTTGGGATGGAACATCACTTGGACTTCATATGGGAAATCATGGAACCTCACTTGGCTTCATCTGGGCGATTTTCCTGCGTGAATTGTTATTCACCACCCCCTATTACTACTCACCCCCCCAATTACGTTTTTTCCCTTCACTACTCTCTCTCTACTATTTTCCTCTCGATTTTATATGGCTCTTTTGACCGTAAAAAAAAAAATTGAAAAAATGCCAAAAAAATACCATGGCATCGGCAAAACATTGAAGATTTACCATTTATTTATTTTTTACTTTGTAAAGAATATTTTTATTTTTTAATTTTTTTTTTTTGGCGCGTCCTATCGGCAAGGTCGGACGCGCACGGTTACCGGCGAGGACGGACGCGCACTACAGTGTTTCAAGCTCATGGGTGCGAGGGTTTGATGAGGGTTTCAAGCTCAGCTACCCTCTTTCTCAGGGCTTCCATCTCCGGATTGACACGTCTGGCTGGCCGACCTCTCTCTATCTGATGTCGGAGGTCGGCTGAGTTCCCAGTTTGTAGAAACAAGGGTCTAGCGACGACGACGTCTCTCCTGGCGTGTCCAGACTGACTTTCAGCCGTCATTTCTTGCGCATTGTTCTCCTAGGGGTTCACTAATCTTGCTGGTGGTCGATGGAGGTTGTCATCTCGTGGTTGTGATGTCGCATGAAACTGAGTTTGTTGTTCACGCCTCCATACACCCGCAGCGCTCTAGGCCTATCAGGAGTGATAGGTGCGAGGGAATTCCCTGGCATGACTCTGGAAGTTCCATGCATGGCTTGCGCAAGCAGAGCGGAGAATCCCTCTTTTTAGAATGTGTGGAGTACCTTTACTCATAATTGCGAAAATTTTTTGCATGTTTCCTCCTTTTTCAACCTTTTGAGTTGTTTGAGGATTTCGAAGAATTCGGAAAAGAGAAATATGTTTTGTGTACTTTTTACGGTCTTCCAATAGACGATGCGAGACTTTTCCTACCTTCTTTTTCAGATGGTATTCAGATACAAATCATTATGCCTTTTCGTTTGCGACCTTGGAACACAGGATTGCCACGCCAGGACAAAGACAAAATTTGTTATTTAACAATTTTTGGAAAGAAAACTGACTATCCTTTTGGTTGGCCGCGACCCTCGCTTCACGGGACGGTTCTGGACGACCCTATTCAACTTGATGGGAACCGAATGGCATGAGCGTGGTGAGGTCCGGTATCGCCGCGGTGTTGGTCCTACCGGTGGATGGGACTGGACCACGACTGCCTCCACCCCTGGATGTTTGATCATCTTGTCCTGACTGAGCCATGATTATCAAATTGAGTGTGAGTGACGATTCAGTGTTTTGCTTCCTTTTAAAAAGAGCTGGATTCGAAGATTAACCTCGAATATCTTATGAGGCACTCCTTCTAGCGCCAAACTGTTGATTAACGGATTATACCAACTATTTGAAGATAAATATATCTAATTAAAAGTGCGAAAGGATGATTTTATTGAAGAGTTTCGATGTCGGGATTTATACATACAAGGCGGTTTTTAGTACATGAAGTCGGTATTTTACGAAACCGAGGTGATAAATGCGATATTTAATGTGTCGGAGCGAGGATCCACATATCTAATTTAATTCTACTATTTATAGTAACTATCGGCCCATCTTTTGAAGAGATTCGACGGCATTTAATGCGCTGTGACAACCTAGGTGGGCCCCCTGGCAATGATGGTTTTCACGTGGGCCAAGACAGCTAATTGGACAGTCATTTAATGCGGCCGGCAGTCGTTACGTCGGCTTTTGGGGACCCCATCTTTGCCGAAGTCGGCCCCTTCATTGAGGTGTTCATGTGTGATTTTACACCATATTCGTATAGTATCTAGAGCTTATTTGTCGCATTATTGGTGTATAAATTGCATATTTGTGCTTTAATTCTATATTTGTTGGAAAGGTATTATGCGTGCTCGTTTTGTAGATATTTTCACATATTTGTAGAGCTTTGGCTATTGGAGGATCATGGTGAGTGCCTAAGACTCCCGGGATGATGATAGATCGATGCACGGATGAGAAAAATGGAAGAAACGAGCAAAACGGACAAAAACGTACATGCTGGGGTGTGACACGGGCTGTGACATGACCAACCAGCCCGTGTCAGAGCCCATGTCACCTCAACAGAAAAATTCGAAGCTCAGAGACCTGACACGACCCGTGACACGACCTGTGACACGGGCGTGTCTGGTCGTGTCACGCGCGCGGACAGTTTTTAATCCCTTGCCTTTTTGGATAAGGAGAGGAGTTTTGGACATTACAAAGAGCATATTA